GCTCCTTAGAAGAACTCTTGGGTGGAAGGAAGACAGATATTCTGTTATTATATCCATTTTCAGATTAGAAAATTAGAACAAACCAAGAGTATATCCATTTTATAGGCGAGGACACAGGAAAAGCAGATAGTGTGCTTAGTAACTAGAGTGACCAAAAATAAGTCCAATAATACTTGTTTAACTCTTTAGGGAGATTTTGAAGTACATGATTTTTCAAGGAAGTATTTTAAGGTTATATTATTTTCACAGCAATGAAAAAATTTGCTCCTATAGCTGATTTAGAATACATATATGGTTTAGAAACCTGTGAAGCTCAAGCTTTGTGTGTTTTTCTTAGTGAAACTTAACTCTAAGTTTTATCTTCTTTCTTCACACCATTCACTCCTTTAAGGTTCAACAATCCGCCTTTCCCTGCACTGTCCCCACTGTAGAGTTACCGCTAAGTTAACAGTGACTTGTGGTTGCTATATCCAAAAGGGACTCATCACCTCGCCACCATTCAGCAACATTTGGCCATGGTGGTCCCTCTATTCCTTGTACCCCCAACTCTCTGTCTCCTCCTCTGGCTAATCCTGATCTTCTGCAACATTCTCTGACTTTGCACCTTTGATGGTGTTTGTACTCAGGTCCTCTTCTTGGTTCTTATTACTTTGGTTGTCCATGCTATCTGACCAGGTAATATCTACCAGCTCATCCCTCCCTCTAGAGTGCCAAAGCCATGTGTCCAACCACCTACCTAACATTCCCACCTGGGGGAAACCGTTGGCTCCATGACTTGCCATGCAAACGGAACCCATGATTTCTCCTCACTGAATCTGCTCCCCTTTCTATGTTTTCTTACTTTCCTAAATATTCATTTGGTTGCAGAAACCAGAGGTAAGGGTGTTATCCATGACTCTTTCTTTCCTTTTAATCCTGGCATCGAATCCATAAGTCCTGACAGTTTTCTAAATACTGCATCTCTCATATCCATGCCTTTTCTCCAGCCCTCCTATTGTGAGCCAAATTCAGACTGTTATTGCCTATGACAACTTTCTGATCAGCTTCCATGTCTCTAGTCTTACATCCTCTGCTCCAGCATTCACGTGCCACCTGACAGATCTTGTCGTTTGAATGTTTAAGATTACACTTTTGCTTAGCACACGTTTCCTTATTTTCTCACACAGCCTGCTAATTTAATCTTAGTTTTTCCTCTCCTCTCACACATCATGCTCTGATTAAATCTACTCTTTATAGTTGTCTAAACATCTATGCTTTCATATGTTTATAGCTTGCACCTCCTATGTTCTCTGCCTGAGGAGTGAGATGCAATCACTCATGAAACACTTCTGGAAGTCTTAGAAGAGAGGTAGGTGTTGTGATGAGCCCTGCAGAATGAATAGGAGTGTGCTATGTGGTGTCCATGCGGGTGATATTCATGATTCTTGATCTTAAGGAGTTTGTATTTTAGTGGGAGACAACCGTGTACACAGTTGCAGTACTTTGTGTTACACTCTATTAGAAATGTGTACAAACTATAATAGGAGTACAGCAAAGAAGGTCCTTGAGTTCATGATAAAATTATTATTTTATTAAAAATATGGAATGCTTCACAAATTTATCTTGACTCAATTCAGGAAAAAAATTACACTGGCTGTCTTAGCCCATTTAGACAACTGTAACAAAATATCATAAACTGGTTGGCTTATAAACAACAGAAATTTATTTCTCACAGGTCTGGAGACTGGGAAGTCCAAGAACAGGTTGTTGGCATATTTAGCATCTAATGAGGGCCTACTCCCTGGTTCATAGACAGTTGTCTTCTTGGTTGTGTCTTCACAGGTTGGCAAGAACTAAGGAGCTCTCTGGGGTGTCTTTTTATAAGGTCACGAATCCCTTTCATGAGGGTGCCCATTCTCATGACCTAATCACCTCCCAAAGGCTCCACCTCCAAATACCATGCACTAGGGATTAGATTTCAACATATGAATTTTGTGGGGACACAAAACATTCAGACCACAGCACTGTCTCAAAGCATCTAAACAAACCTCTCCAAAGCACAGGGTCTAACATGATGCCTTGTTAGCAAAATAAATCCAGATAGAACAAATAAATATATTAGGACATTGTGATACAAACCTGCAGATGGGGGGAGTATCTTTCTGAACTGTATTCATGAAATCCTCTATATTTTATTACTTTGAAATGGACCTTATTTGCTCTTTCCTCTTTCTCCCATAAATGTTGGTGCTCCAGAGATCTCTAGATGGGCTTCCCTGGTATTTCTCTGCTCCATATCCCTGAGACTCATTCAATCCTGTGTTATCAGTTGTTGTCTTCAGTGGGTCACTCCCAAACCCATATCCCCAGCCTAGTCTGTTAATGCAATTACTCACGAAGTATATCTGCTTGGAGATTTTGCAGGCCTCTCCACTGTATCATGGCCAAAATGGAACTCTTCATCTTCCTTATGTTTTCCGCTCTTTCCCTGTAACCCCCTGTTCTTCTTTTTGTGTCCTTCATTTCAGTAAATGTTACCCAGTTATCTAATTAAGTAACCTGGGAGTTATTCTTGGTTCCTTAATTCAATCTAGAGCCGATATTCCCCAACTCCACAGCCTAAATAAAACCCAGTTTTATTGATCTTGATCTCTGCCTTGCTGCCACCTAGTCCTGGCAGCCCTCATCTCAGTCCAATATGACAACAGTGAGCATCTGGCTGACTCTGCAGCTACTCTTACTATTGTTCACATGTTCTCTGAACTTTGAATCTACACTCAAGTAAGTCATTCTTTAAAAGTGAAAATCAGGGGGTGTGGGGTGGTGGGGAGGTGGGATCGGCAGTAGTGGGAAACTGCCTGGGGAAGGGGGGTTATCTGCACAATGAATATTTGTATAGCTAACCCTGAATTGTACCCCAGAATTAAAAATAAAAAAAAGTGAAAAACAGATTGTGTCATCTGCCCCTTAAAACCCATTAGTGCTAACTATAGTGTTGTACCCCAGATTGTAAAAAGGACATTAGTGAAAAAACCCATGGAATCTGTATAAGACCTGGAGTTCATTTATAGTAATGTGCCAATGTTGGTTTCTTAGCTTTGAGAAATGTACCGTGATTATGTAAGATGCCAGTATCAGTGAAAACTGTGTAAGGGACATATAGGAACTTTCTGCAGAAGCTTTTCAACTTTTCTGTATACAACTATTCCACAGTTAAAAGTTTTGGACCTTGAACAATTCTAATACTATAAGAAAGTATTTGGCAGTAATGGGAAACTGTCAAGGGAGGGGGGTGGAATAGGCGATTGGGGGAAACTGCTAGGGGAGGGAGGGGCATACCTCATCCACAAGGGTACCTGCATGATCAATGTTTGTATACCTAACCCTGAATTGTATCCCACATCTTTATAATAAAAAAAAGTATTGGTAGCTCCCATTGCTCTTATGTTGACTCCAAAGCCCTAAAATGGCCAGTTTCCTCTCTCCAGACTAAAATTAATTAATTATTCCAGAGAGATAAGCCTCTTCCTGTCTCCAAGTAGTCACAGTGTCTGGTCCATTAATAAGTTTTTGATACATATTGGTTAAAAATTAACGAATGTTACATTTTAAAAATAAAAGACTATAAATTAGGGACTGATAAAATTTGGGAATTTATAAGCCGAGCTGCGTTTTCAGGAGAAGTTGGGACAGCCTGGGAAATGCTTTAGCTGTGTGGGATCTTTCGTTCTGATGCTCCTTTCCCCTCCCCTCTGCCCTTTTAGGCTGTGCTCCTCAAATTCTGTGCCAGCCCCTGCAAGCACCAGAGACCGGGTCATCTGAAATGCCCATTCATGTCAATGGGAGAAAGAAAAGGGGTCTCCCTTTTGTCCTTGCCACTATCCCCTGTCCCACCTCCCACAACAATTGTGGACCATTTAACTGTGGGCTTCTGGGAACAGTGCTGCCCCCTTAATGGTCTAACTACTAGCATTGTTCCAAAGGCCAGAATTTCAAGCCAGGTAAGGGAGCCATGTCAGGCTGCCAGATGGTGGGGAAGACTGGTGTGGTTAAGCAGGCTACAGACTAAAGGGAGGTAGAGGGATCAAGTATTGAGTCACATTTTTTTGTTTTTGAGTTGGAGTTTCACTCTGTTACCCAGGCTGGAGCACAGTGGCATACCGCAGCATTGACCTGCTGGGTTCTGGTGATCCTTCCGCCTCAGCCTTCCAAGTAGCTGGAACTACAGGTGCACACTACCACACTGGCTAATTTTTTATCTATTGTAAAGATGAGGCCTCACCAAGTTGCCCAGGCTGGTCTCGAACCCCGGGAATCAAGCAATCCACTTGCCTTGACCTTGCAAAGTGCAGGGATTACAGGCTGACCCACTGAGCCTGGCTGAGTCACATTTGAGAAAGGAGTCATGTGAACCTCATGACCCATTATAGAGCCCTGTTATAATATTCCTTAGTGTTACTTGGACTTGGATTTAACCTAGGACAAATCCTTTTCTTCTCATGCTTCTTTCATTCCTGGCTCCGTGTTATATACTTCCCCCTTCTAAGACATCACTCTTAAAATGATGATGAGAAATACCTATTACTGATTACCTTAGAACATAAATTTGAGATGCCACAATCAGGATATTATCTGCAGTTTTTTCAGAAGTAAACTTCCTAAGGTTACATGTAGCTGGTGATACATAGGCATATTTAGGATTCAAACTTAGGGCTCTCTGATTCCAAAATTATTGTTCAAGTGGCCTAGGGGGATTTGTTGGAATCTCTTTACCTCTGTATGGAGGGTGTCAATGCAAAGGGGCTTACAGAAAGTCAAGGTGGAACATCGAGGTCTCAATCTCAAAGCAGGCTCTCTAGAAGGAAGCTTGAGGAGGGAGTGGGGACCCTGTGGGATACTTCTGTTTCCTCAGTGTGTTTCAATGGAGATAGAAAATCCATTGCCAGCATCTGTCTGGAAAGAACCTTTTTGAGATTTCTCCCACCCCTCCTTCCAACACCACTTTCTTGCACACACTCCAGAAAGATAGACAGAAGAATTTAATACATGTGATGCTTTTCCTTCCATTTACACAATCATAAATTACAAAGTATTGTTCACTTCACAAAATAAAACCATTTCCAGGTAATTTTTTGACAGTATCAAGAAGTACATAAGCTACAACAACCAAATCTGTACAGTGGGAGGAAGGATAACAGCAGGGGCCAGGCCAAGTCATTTTTGACCTGCATGTGCCAATGAAGTCCATCCACATAGCCCTTGGGACGGTTCAGGACAACAACTGCACTGTGCTCCTCCATCCAACTCCACTTAACACACAGCCATTCTCTTCTGCTCACTCCAAAACAAGACTAGTGAGTAGTTACATGACAATCAGAGGAAAAGACATTATAGTTGGATTTTTTAAAAAATGTGGATTTACAGTTTTTGATGTTTTAAATATATTACAAAAGATAGAAATCTTGGTGTGAAAGGCTCATGCTAACATAAATATAACCAATGGGGTTGAAACAATAGTAATAAAATCAAATTATTATCCATCCAGAGCTACTTTTTATAAAGGAAGAACAACTATTTGGTAAAAATCAATCTTATTGATTCTCACTTTTTAAAAAGATTTGTTTATAAAACAAAAATGAAAAAAATCAACAATTATTCTGCAGATTTGCTTATCATCAATACAGAAATGTGGCAAAAATACAACTGGCTATTAACAGAATTCAGAGGTCTTGGCTGAAAAGAAAAAAAAAAAAAAAGGAAAAGTGCTAACTTTTTACACAGCCCAGATACAGCCAGTGTCCTCAAATCATTTGATATAAATGACCACATGTTCTCTGCATGTTCTGGGATATACACTCATGATATGAAAAGACTATGACCAATTCTAAAGCAGACCAAGAATTTACAAAATGTTTATAGACATAAAATTTGTGAACGTTTCAGATCACTATACGGTTGCTATAAACATATGCCACCCAATAGTAGAATGCCAGTGCTTAAGAGCAAAAATGATAAAAAGCAGGAACACGTGGCAGGTGAAATTTCATGGAAAAGCACTGATTCGGATAGAGGTATGTTAAGATAATACTGCATACGTGGTCAACTTTTCCAGGGCATCACAGCAAGAACGCAGGACAAGGTACACAGGGTAATAATCAATGCACTGCATTGAGTTCTATTTGCTAAAATAACATTCTTGCAGCTAAAATAAAAATACATTTTACAATATAAGTTTCATTTAACATTTAACAGATAGAATTGTCTTTTTTTTGTAAGTGGAAAATGTATAACTATATCAAGTACCTTTGTGAATTAAGTTCCCTTTTATTACTGATAAGACTGAAGTTTAAAGGTCTACATTTTTTTAATAAGTTAAAGAAAGATTTATTAATCACTCTTCCAGCAAAACAGACATACATACGAGGCACAGCAAAAGACCCAAGGTGAGGGGCTTTTCTCCCCCTCCCCCTTGTTCTCATGCAGACGAGGTGTGTGTCTATAAGACACAGTACCCGACTCGGCAATCCACTGCGGTCCAGGAAATTCTGTCATTTGTTTGAAAAACAAATCAAGTGTAAGACATGTTTTTATTTCTCTAGCTTTATCAACTTAGATGAGGCTGAGGCCATTCAGCTCATTTGTCTGATGGATTAAAACAAAACATCTTCGTTTTCTATTAAAATCTGCACGATCAGCTTTTGGTACCGCATGTCATGAAGGGTGGTGAGGGTGCTGTCCTCTGGGGGCCTCATCAGGGTAGGCCCAAACACGATCCCCAGGTTTTCCGCATTCATGAAATTGTCCTTTTCATTCATAGTAACCCTGCAAAACACACATGTAGACACAGAGACATCATGTAGACTTGCAGATGAATGTATACATTGATTATGCATAGACGTCCCAAGAACATTTCTGGTTCGGGAAACTGAGTCTATCATACTCAGTGATCTATCATAGAAGCAAAGAACAGACTACCACATGTTGTCACTCATAAGCGGACCTTGAACAATGATCATAATACTATAAGAAAGGGATTGGCAGTATTGGGTTACTGCAAGGGGAGGGGAGGTGGGATTGGCAGTTGTGGGAAACTGCCAAGGGAGGGTGGTGCACACCTCATCAACAAGGGTACCTGCATAATGAACATTTGTATACCTAACCCTGAATTGTACCCCAAATTAAAAAAAAAAGAAAGAAAGAAACAAAACTGACAATGAGGATGGCAGAAAGGTATTTTTTAAAAAGGAAATTTTCTGATTTGTTTTCCTTTGCAAATTGTTGACATTGCCTTCAGCCAGTAGATGTGAATTACTTCTGTGAATCCAATATGGGCACAATTCAGTTTTCCTTATGAAATCCATGTGGAGCTATAATTTAAGGAATATTGGTTTGAATGGGCAGCAGATAGCAGATCACTAGCTGGCCCATGGTGCACACTTGGGCCTTAGATGGAAGTCTCTTTCCTCTTGTCACAACCTGCTGGTCTGTATGCTGGAAAGTGGGTAGCTGAAGGCAGGTTCCTTGTTTGCTGGCAGGACCAGTGCCAAAGGAGAAAGGTAACTTGTAGAATGGGCTGTCATGAATTTAGGAAGAGCTAGGCCATTATCACAGGATAGAGGAATGGCTGGGATGCGGCCAGACTGGGGGAAGGATGACTGGATATTATTTCTAGTTCCCACAGGATGAGGTCTGGGGCAGTAATTATTATTGGAATTAAAAATCATAATTTCAACATCCAGATAAGAACTACAGAGCCTTTAAGAGTGAAATTGAAGCCCAAAAGTTGGCTTAATACCTTACTAGTAGAATAAAATGACAATTTCCCATATTTTTGTTTTCACAAATTTAGGTCTTAGAATGTTCATAATAAATTTAAAAGGGAATGGGTTCTTCCCCAAAAAGCAAAATACAATTAAGATGTGTTTAGGTTTTGCATAGAAGGCCATCCCTTTGTGTCTATTCACTTAGAGTTAATTAGAGTTAGCTATTTACCATTATTTTAGGAAGATAACTCAGTTTCCATCATTTTCATGCTATAAAGCTAAGAAGAAAATAGGAAAGAGGACATCCTTTGCTATGAAAATGCTCATGTCTCCCTATCAAGTCAGGCACTACCCCTGACCAAACAAGATGGCCAGCAACTCCCATAAAAACACAAAATTAATGGCACATAAGATTCTGCTGAGAGATGTCAGCATTTTTCCTGATAGTTGTGCTTTGTCTTTCCAGACTGTAACAATTAGATACTGATCACAATGTAAGAAATATTTTATAGCTAATTAAAAGCCAGGTGTGACACTCATAGTTTATTACTTACATAAAAGTTACTTGTATTCATAAATTTAATACATTAATCAAAGTGTGACTATTCCTAGCTAAATGTTGCCATCTTTGACTGCCCTGAATCTGAGCAACAATATTTGTATGTCTTACAAGACAGGAAAATAAAACTCCCAATACCTAGTGTTTATACTGTATTATCAACTTGCTTCTTTCCATTTAGTAAGTAGATCTGTACATTGGTCAATGCAGATAATTGTTGACTCACTTAATCTAAGAATGCACTGCTGCTATGTATCTTTCAAAAACACAGAGGGAGGCACACAGATGTACCTTGATGCCTCCAACATTATAACACCAACTCATTGACCTCAATACACATGAACAGTAAAGGAAAGAAATACAAGGTTTAGGGAGAAGAGTTTGGAACCAGAGACTCTAGTGTCCCATAAACGTCTAAATGTGTCTACTTCTGTCTCATACACGTTGACAGAGATGGCCCCATGTGTGGCAGGAACCCTCTGAGATGGCTCCCTATGATCCCTGCCTCCTGGAACTCATACCTTTGTGGAGTCCCTTTCTCTAGAGTATGGGCTGAGCCTAGTGACTTGCTTCTTTTTTTTTTTAATATTGCAGTGTGGTTTTTTAATTTGCATATTTATGTGATTAGTAATAATTCGTTTGGTTTTTTTTTTTTCATTAATCAGTATTTTTTATTATGGTTTTGTGGGGTACAGTTAAGGGTTAGGTGTACAATTACGTTTCATTCAGGCACCCTGTTGAGAAGAGGTGTTTTCCCATCCCCCGACAGATATTTGCTACTGTTAATCCCATCCCCCTCCCCCCCATAGTTTCCCGACTTGCTTCTAATAAATAAAATATGGCAAAGGCAAGGGAATGGCACTACTGAAACTAGGTTACAAAATGACTGTATTTCATTGTGGGTGCTTTGGCTTGATCTGAAGGAAACCAGCTGCCATTTTGTAAGATGTCAATGAAGCCACCCACACAGCAAGGAACGGAGGGCAGCCTCCAGTGAACAGCTGGGAAAGAAGTAAGGCCTTCAGTCCAATAGCCTTTAAGGACCCAAATCCTGCCAACAACCATGTGGATGAGCTTGTTAATGGATGCTCCTCTATCGCGCCTTCAGATAAGATCACAGCCTGGCTGCCAGTGTGACTGTGACCTTGAGCCTGAGACACCCAGCTGAGCCAAATCCAGATTCCTGACCCACAGAAACTACTAGATAATAAGTGTTTATTGTTTTAAGTCACTAGTTTTGGGTCAAATTGTCACTCAGTGACAGAGAACTCAAATATCCAGAAAAATAAGAGATCAGGCTGGAAATGTGCTTTCCCAGAAGATAGGCAGGCTCAGGAGTCCGAGATGGGGCAAGCAACAGGAAGAACAGAACACAGAGTACAAGGGCTTGTGTTGGAAGAAGATGCAGATACGGAGGCAGTGTAGACAAATGGTTAAGACAGAGTGTGCGCTCTGCATCAGCCTACATGGGTTTTAGCTCTGGTTCATCTCTTCGGCGTAGCTATTTAAGTTCCCTAAAGCTTCAGAATCTTAGGTGTAACATGTGCCCAATGACGTCCCTCACGGTGCCCGTCTCCTAAGGTGGACACATACAAAGCGCGTGGAGTGGGTCCTGGCAAAGAAGGAAGTTTGAGCAGTTAAGACTGGGACCAGAGGGGCTGTCTACTCAGAGGACTGGGGAGGAAGCTGCATCCTTTTCCTAGGGCATTGCTGCCCCAGGGCAGATCCAGCTTCCTGGAGGGAGTGCCTGCTTGCTTACTTTTTGAGGTGGATCATTAGGTACCGGAGGGTCTCATAGTGGGCAGGAGGCAGCAGCATCAGCACTTCATGGACTGCTTCCAGCCTCTCATCTGCATTGGAGATTTCTGTGAAGTTTACACATAACGGATATTAGTGCAGAGTTGTGACGTTTACATTTTCAAAGAAGTAGCAAAAAGTTTATTTTGTTTGTTTCAGCCACAAAATGGTGGGGAGGGGGACTTTCTAATACATTCATGCAATTTCAGGCACTATTTCACTTAACCAATTTTTCGTGTCCTGCCTCACTCCAGAAAGAGTTAGTGGCTGGGTACCACATGTACATTCAATGTCCGCGATGTGGGTGGCTGGAGGCTGGACACCATCGTTGCCCTCCAGGAATCTGCAGGCTAGTAGAATGCTTACAGTCTGGAGAAACGTGTACAGACTGTGATTTGCCCTTCTTCTGAGCTGGACTTGCTAGAAATCTCACAATCACAAGCTTTGATTTAAACTGTACCACTTATGGTAGTGTTCCCTTGAAGTTGACCAGTAAGTTTTTCCCTGGCAGTCCTCCATAACCAATGTATTTCTCAAGGCAAGGGCACTGACAATGAGCCAGCTAGTTCAACCTGTACTCTTGGCACATCTCACCAAAGAGTGGGCATGGCTAACCCTGGTGCACAGCCCTGGTTAGAAAGTGAAGACTGGGCACATTAACAATGAGAGGAAGATGCATGCTTCTGGTTTTTGGGTCTCTGATAAGTATTGGCAGCTACAGTAAGTCCTCTACATACGAACCTTCAAGTTGCAAACTTTCAGAGATGCGAATGTGCGTTTGCATGTCTAATCATGTAAGCTATTTCATGTGTCTGGCATACATTGTCATGTGAGTGTAAAGTACTATACTGTAAGGTGAAAATGTTGTATTTTTTAATGTATTATTTGTATATAAAGTATTATAAACCTATTACAGTACAGTATTATACAGCCAATTGTGTTAGTTGGGTACCTGGGCTAACTTGGTTGGACTTATGAACAAATTGGGCTTACAAACATGCTCTTGGAACAGAATTTGTTCATATGTAGGGGACTGACTGTACTCAAAGAAAGCCCTCCTACCATTCCTTCTAGGGTAGAGTGTTCCCAGTGGCTAGAGTCTTTTCTACCTAGGACCACTAAGACTTGGAAAGGATTGGTCTTACCAGGAAGCAGGGCCACAGCTCATCTGAAAAGTATATAATCCCTGCCCACCAGGCATCCCCACCAGGCATCTCATTACTCTATTTGCCAGCACACACCTAAGCTTTTCGACCTTTAAGCATTAAAACAGCAACAACAACAAAAAAAACTTCCTCAAAGTGGGTGTGCCTTCTCTGTTATGGAGCTCAGCATCTAATCTCTCCTTTCTAATGATTGCCTGTTCCTGGGCAAAGTGCATCCTTTTCCCCCCACACCTGTCCCCTTTCACTCTGTTCCTCTCTCCTGACAGCAGTGGGTCCAAGTGCCAAACACTGAGTGAGCAACTGTGGGCAGATGGAAGGTGAATGCTGACGTCCCATTCCTGGACCCGTGAGCTCAGTTCTCTAAGCCTTGCTTTTCTCCTCTGTAAAATGGGATTGAAATATTTGCCTCATGGGACAGTTGAGAAGATTAAACTAGAAGACACTGGTGAGAGGTCCTGGTATAGTACTAGTGCCTGACAACGTATATTCTTGGCCTTCTATTAATTTTGAACAGCATCGATAGGCAAAACTTGGGTGTGATTTTAATCGATTAACAACGAGATTCTGCCTAATGGATAAAGGTAGTTAATCTAGACAGTCCTCACTGAAGAATATCTGATTTTTGTTGCTACAGAAATATTAATGTTTTCAATAGATAACAGAATAGGCTGGACTGTGCTGGTTCCCAGCATTCCAGAACGATGGGGACAGAACTGTTTGACACCCTGTGTCAGCCCAGAGTGTTGTCTTAGTACTGGTTCACCTCATCTGATGAACTATGCCTGCTTTTCTATTAACTGTACCATGGTGTCTTCACTTGGCAGAAGAAGTGCACATGCAATAATTTAAACAGTTCTGAGTTTTAATTTTCTTAAGGTCAAAAGCATTTAACTTAAAAATGTGGTACAAATAAAAAAATTAATTCTAAATACTTACTTGCTGCTTCTATAAATTTGGAATAGGTATCGTATGTGATGACAGGGATGGGCAAGTCTCTGAAATACAGTTTAAGGGCTCCAGTGATGATGTTTATGTCTGGATAGATGTTGGCAGATATATCTGCCTTCTCACCATCTGAAAAACAATCAATGATCGAGGTCCTAATTAGGATTCTCTTCCACCAAGATAAGGCATGTACAGCAAGAAAAAAAAGTCCAACAATGAATGCTCCCTATAAGTCTCAGCTAACTCCTTTGGTTTCTAATAACACTGAGGTGTAAGAGGTAACAAAAAGGAGTTTGGTGAGAGTGAGGCAGGGGCTAAGGGTAAGTGCAGGCAAAAGAGTAATAGACTTGAAATCGTTCTTTGGGTCCTGGCCCCTGGAAATTTGCTAAATATAAATTTAGCATGGCTGGGCATGATGGCTCATGCCTGTAATCCCAGCACTCTCGAAGCCGAGGCAAGAGGATTGCCTGAGTCCAGGAATTTGAGACCAACTTGGGCAACATGGCAAGACCTCATCTCTACAACAAATCAAAAAATTAGCCAGGCATGGTGGCGTGTGACTATAGTTCCAGTTACTTGAAAGGCTGAGGCAGAAGGGTCACCTGAGCTCAGCAGGTTGAGGCTGCGGTAGCTATGAGCATGCCATTGCACGCCAGCTTTGGTGACAGAGTGAGACTCCAACTCAAAAAAAAAAAAAAAAATTAGCATAGTAATTCATATTATAAATACAAAGATTCATAGTAAAATTATGTTCTAATTTAAAATAAAAAGGTATCAAGAAGCTCTAATACATCTCTATCAGTACTTTTTGGACTAGGATTTGGAGCTCACGTCACAAAATGATTGTTGAATATCTTCAGTTTTTATTGTTTCTTTCAGGCTCACTGAAGTTTTGTTTTTGTTTTCTGTTTCTTTATTTGACCCTTCTTCCCCCGCCCCTTAGAACTTCAATCAAGAAACTTTCCTCTTGCCTCATGTATAGGTAGTGTTACATTTCTTATAATTTCTAACAGTAGTTCTCAAGACTTTTTTTGGGGGGTTGGGGTCTCACTCTGTCACCCAGGCTGGGGTGCAGTGGTACCATCACAGCTCACTGCAGCTTTGATTGACCTTCTGGGCTCGTGCAATCCTTCTGTCTCAGCCTCCCAAGTAGCTGGGATTACAGGCATGTGCCATCATGCCTGGCTAATTTTTCTATTTTTTGTAGAGATGAGATTTTGCTATATTGCCCAGGTTGGTCTCAAACTCCTGGGCTCAAACAATCCCATAGCCTTGGGCTCCCAAAGTGTCAGAATTACAGGTGTGAGCCACTGTGCCTGGCCTCAAGACTTTTTGTTTACCACTAGTAAATACTAGTCTACTTTGTCACAGACAATGAGGTTTTTGCATTAAAAAATGTTTCAATTACATAGGGACTATTAACATCTTTTATTTAGAGAATTAAAAGATGAAATGCCTCAAGAAATTTGGTTCTAAAGATAAAAAGCCTGCCGATGTACAGAAAACAGTAAAAACATAGCAGATATGCCATATTGATCTCATTATTTACATATTTAACAGACATTGACTGAGAATCTACCATGTGCTCAGTACTATTAAACCCTGGTAAATCAAGGAAGAGGAAAAGAGATACTCTCTTTCAATAGTTCTAGCTAGACTGGCAGTCATGCACTACTCAATACTTACAAGGAAATGGGAAGATTGCTCTGCTGAAGGGGTGTGACGAGTATGGGGGCAGAATGTGAGAAAAGGAATTGGAGGGTTTAGGTCAGCAGGGACAGTCAGGGAAGGTTCAGAAAAAAGGGTCAAGTACAGTGACTCACACCTCTAATCTCAGCACTGTGGGAGGCCAAGGCCGGAGGATTGCTTGAGACCAGGAGTTTGAGACCAGCTAGACAACATAGTGCCACTTTGCTTCTAGAAAAACAAAAATTAAAAAATAGCCAGGCATGGTGGCGTGTGCCTGCAGTCTCAGTCACTGGGGAGTTTGAGGTGGAAGGATCACCTGAGTCCAGGATGTTGAGGCTGTGGTGAACCATGATTGTGCCACTGTACTCCAGCCTGTGTGACAGAGTGAGACCCAGACTTAAAAAAAAAAAGGGGGGGGGCAACCCTTTCGGGTCCCCTCCCACTGTGGGAGTTTTTCTGCCCTCTCAATAAATCCTGTTTTCTAAAAAAAAAAAAAGAAAGAAAGAAAAGCTTGAGTTGACTCTGATTATAGGTGTCCACCAGGCAGATGTGAACCATTCTAGATGGACAGAACAATGTGAGCCAAGGTGCTTCTTCATGACAAAAAGTACAGTGTGTTTCAGGACTGCTGGAGTATACACTACAATAGGGAGGAGGAACTAAACATGCACCCCACCACAGAACTACTGGGATTGTTTATTAGAAATACAGACGCTAAGCCTTACTCAGTTTTTGAAAGAGTCCTCAGGGTGGGACCTGGTGATTTGTATTTTTAACAGGATCCCCAGGCTGGCTATCATATCTGACCTAAGAGACAGTATGTCCTAGAGAACGTTTGCTATAATTTTAAAAAACAAGAGAAGTGACCTCCTAAACTTCCACTGGCTTCCCCTGCTTCTGCACTAGGAAAGCCTTGCATCTCTCTGTTCCTTCTTTGAAGCTTTCAGAGATGGAGAAGAGTCAACGGGATCCTGAGACAGGGATGCAGAAGGCACTCTGATACCCTGTGCACTGGCTGCCCATTCACTTCCTCATGTGGTCACTTGTCCATGGCTTCTAAGGAAACACTTCTCCCAGAAAGTCAGAATGATGAGATTTTTAAGCCACCCTTTCTCCCTTTCCTGAAGAACACCTCTCTGTAGTTTTGAAACACACTTCCATGATGAACAAAATCTGGTTCAAAAAGAAGGGGTGCTAAGGGTGTCACATGGCATTGTGCAAGCTTACCTCTGTCAAATGCCATTTTGACATCTTCAATGTGTTCAGTGAACCCGGAGACTCTGTAAAGGCCTTCTGACTTTAATCCTGTGAGAGAGACAGAGACACACAGAGACTGACTGACTTTAGCTTCTTGAAACATCTAAAAAAAGACTCTAGTTTCATATCTATACTACATGCTATCAGGAAATGAGCAAATCTAGTTGGTGATCTTATATATCACACACTATTGTGTCAGAACTTAGATGTGCCTATCTCAGTTTCCAAGCAAATCTGTTCTCATTTACTTGTGTGGTAGTAAAGACCTCAGTGGAAATCTGGTCTTCTTCCTGCCTGACTTTGCAAAGTGAACTGATATTTAAGATTCTCATCAGGCCAGTCCCCTACTTCCTTTGTGTGTCAGACTGCTAGACACGCACTTCACAACTGTGGAAGCAATCTGGCTTTCTCCCTGGCATTATGTAACCCATTTGCTGTATTGTATGTAGCACTGTGCTAGGTACACACATGTGTGTATATAGGTGTCTAATACATGCTATTTCGATTTTATTGGAAAAATCAAAATTGTACAACTTTTTATGCTTACTCATAAGACATATGTTAACTGTTTAATTATATGATTTAATTGCTATACTTTCAGATAACAGGTTATACAAGCAGAGGCAAAAAAATAAAATTCTATTTATTGCTTCTAGAAATTTGATCACTGCATATTTTTTAAAAAAAGACTTAGTTTCTTTCCCAGAGTCTTCTGATTTGTTAAGACATGCCCTAAAACCTACCCAGTTTCCAAAAGTATCAGAAGGGATGAAGGACCAGATTTTACAATTTGTATGTCACAAACTAGCTGCTATGAAAACGACAGCAACAGCAAAAATAATCAAACAGATAACTTCTGCTGCTGCTACGGTATACTCTGACAAACTCTTGATAATTAACATATGTTCCTGTTTTCTCATTTGGTAAACATTTACCAAGTATGTACGATCGACCATATATAAGGGTCTTTATTAGGTCTGCATCAGAGATGACAAATAAGAGGAGGGAACCCCAAAACCCAGAATTACCCTGAATTATCTTTGGAGGGTGGGAGGGTGGGTACCTGATAGTACAGGCTTCCTTTTTTTTTTTTTTTTTGAGTTGGAGTCTCACTCTGTCACCCAGACTGGAGTGCAGTGGCCACTCCCAGCCACCACAGCCTCGACCTGCTGGGCTCTGGCGATCCTTCCGCCTCAGTCTTCCAAGTAGCTGGAGCTACAGGCGTGCACTACCACACCCGGCTAATTTTTTTGATTTATTGTAGATATGAGGTCTCGCCAAGTTGCCCAGGTGGGTCTTGAATGTGTGGGCCCAGGCAATCCATTCACCTCAGCCTCCCAAGGTGCGGGATTACAGGCTGAGCCACCGAGCCCAGCTACAGGCTTCCTTTGCAAGGTAAGTGCTCCAGGAACCCATCAGCATCAGTGTACCAGCTAATGTTGCAAGAGGCTGCACTCAGTGTCAGTGAATTTTTTTTTTTTTTAGATTCTTTCCATGTATTTTCCCATTTCATGATGGGTGATTTACAAGCACACCTGCCAACACTCCACTGAGTATCCAGCAGTTTTTGACCGAAAACAGATGACTACCATGCCCCACCCTCTCTATTCGCCCAATCTTGCCCTGAGTAACTTTTATTTGTTTCCCTGATGAAAAAAGTCCTCAAAGGGAAACATTTTGCTGATGTGAAAGAGATGAAACAAAAAACTGCAGAAGCACTAAAAGCCTTCAAAATTGATGAGTTCAAAAACTTTTGAGGCTGGTTGCAGTGGCTCATGCCTGCAATTCCACTACTTTGGGAGGTAAAGACAAGAGGATTGCCTGAGCCCAGAGGTTTGAGACCAGCCTGGGCAACTTGGTGAGACCTCATCTCTACAATAAATCAAAAAATTATTTAGGCGTGGTAGTACACACCTGTAGTTCCAGCTATCTGGAAGGCTGAGGTGGAAGGATTGCCTGAGCCCAGAAGGTTGAGGTTGTAGTGGCTGTGAGCATGCCACTGCACTCCAACCTGGGTGACAGTGAGACTCCAACTCAAAAAAATCTTTTTTCAATTAAAAAAACTGCAGAAAATTTTAATTGTTTTGAGTGGCGGAAAAGTGTCTTTATAGGTATATTGCATCAAATGGAGAGTATTTTGAAGGTGATCGAAGTTTAAACATATTTAAACATGAAGAATAAATACACAATTGCTTATAAATAACTTCCGGGGTTTTTTGGGTCCCCCTTTGTACATAAATACTGCCCTTCCTCTCTCCTGTGACCATGACAGATACTCTTAGTTGATCTCCGTTCTTTTTCCTACTCAGTCTCAGAATTCGTCTCAGTACCAGTCGTCAAGGTTACCACTGAGAACTGGAGTTGGCACACAAGATGAAACCTATGTGTCGTTCTGTTCTAAGATACTGGTGTGTGTGAGCACATCTCCATACAGCTGGAATATGTACTGCAACAGAAGCCAGAACATGGTGGCTGATGGGAGCACATGGCAGTGGACAAGCAACCCTGCCTGGTGATAGGTGAATCAAGGTTCTGACTGATTTGGCTTCTGGTGAGGCCCTCTTTCTGGACTGCAGATAGCCACCTTCTCTCACATGTTCTCACATGGCTTTTCCTTTGTGTATGTGCGTGGAGAGAGAGAGAGCTTGCTCCCTTGAGTCTCTTCTCAAGAAAACATTAGTCATATTGGGTTATGACTCCACCTTTAACGCCTCATTTAAACTTAATTCTGTCTTTAGAGGCCTCATCTCCAAACACAGCCACATTAGGCTTAAATAAGGAACAAAAGAAGTGACCTCCTAAATGTCCACTGGTTTCAACATATGAATTTGGGGGGACACAAGCACTCAGTCCATAAGATTCACTGAGTCACTTTCCAAGAAATCCAGGTTTTCAAGGAACATAGGAAATCAGTGCTTTATACTCTACTAAATTGTTTTTGAGTTAGAGTATATTGAGATTTTCCTGACTCCAGCTTCATTCAGCAAAGCATCATCCTGGATTACATTGAGATGATTTTTTGAGAAGCTCATCTTTGAAGGAAGTCATGAAGGATGAGTTGGAGTTTGCCAGAGTAGCAGAGGCTGTCAGCTAGCCTTCCAGTATTTGTTCTATTCCCCTGTTGTAATGGAACCTTTGTTTTTTAGAACAATATCCATTGTAGCGGCCATTAAACTTTGGCCAGTAAGAGGAGAGCAGAAGCTCTATGTACAGCTTCTGGGTTGTGGTCAAGGAAGGGAAAGCCCTTGCCCCTTTCCCCTCCCTTTTAGGTGGAATGCAGATAAGGTGGTGGAAGACAACTGGGATCATGCAGGCCCAGCAGTGCTCAAACACCACAGGCAACAAAGTTGCTGAGTTCCTGCCACTGGGGAACAGCTTGACTAGCCTTGGACTTCTCCAGGGCTAGATTTCTATTTTGTTGAAGACACTATTATTCAGGGTGTCTGTGACAGCATTGAGACATATAAGCTAAGTAACATAGGCAGACAGATGTGGAGGTGGAATTATGGGAGTTGGTCATTCTAAGAAAAGGTAAGAAGAAATAACACAAGTTGAGTCTGTAAATTGGACACTGTACCAAGTCCATTAATATGTATCAACTCATTTTAATCCTCACAACCACCTTATGAAGACAATTGATTCCATCCTATTATGAATGAGGAAACATTCATATGCAATAGGTAACTTGCCCAAGGTCATATGACAGACAGTAAGAGATGGGGCTGGGAATTTCACTTCAAGTCCATGAGCTTTTTACTCTACCACATCATGCAGTCACAACTGGGCATAAAAGAGCACTTAGAGAACAGCGAGGAATTTTCAATGGATGGAAGACAGGGTAAGATGTTGGCAGTGGTGGCCATGTAGCTAGGGATGTGAGCATCATATGAATTTCTTCCAGCCCTTTCTCAGATTCTGCTTACATGCTCAGGCTCCTAATGCCTGGGCTTTAATCCCCGTGCTGTGACTTCCCTGGCATAAATTCCTACTCTGTGCTATACTAGCTCTTGTACTAGGCATGCATAGTGCTGCGCTCCCATTCTTAAGTGTTAGAATCATCAGTCATCTCTGATGAAGATCACCATGGGAGGATCCTAGCTTCTTTGGAAAAAAACAACTATGTCCTTGGCCCTGATAGCAGACTCTGGAGAGGCTGATGATATGACCCCAAATTGTGGAGCCCTCTGAACAGCGTGACCCAGTCACTCATCCAGTCAGGAAACCCCTCCTTTCCTCTTACCTACTTGAGTCATTGGATCAATACCTTCATTAGATCCCCCAGCATCTCTGAAGCTCTGACAGTCACACCCATGAAAAGAGAGGAGGCATTTCTTACAATGAGATTAAATTAGCAAATCCTCAGGGAACAGAATAACTATGTTTTACACCCTGCATAGGAAAGGGAATAATTTCCTATCTCTAAAAGACTTGGGATAATAAGTTATAACATGCCCTTTTGTTTTGCTTTGGAAAAAATAGGCTAGTTGGCCAATAAATTTACACCTATAAAATCGATCAAGGTCATTTGGACACAGTCATGGATATCTTATATAGCTGAATATAATACATAGCAACTTTGGGAGGCTGAAGTGAGTGGATTGCCTGAGACCGCGGGTTTGAGACCCGCCTGGGCAGCGAGACCTCATCTCTACAATAAATCTAAAAATCAGCCGGGCGTGGTAGCGCATGCCTGTAATTCCGGGTACTCGGAAGGCTGAGGCGGAAGGATCACCGGAGCCCAGCAGGCAAGGCTGCGGTGGCTGGGAGTGGCCACTGCACACCAGTCTGGGCGACTGAGTGAGATTCCAACTCAAATAAATAAATAAATAATACATAGCAAAAATAGTTAAGTGACATCCACCAATCCAAGTTCTCTCTAGGAAGACCTAGTCTACCATGTCACTGAAAATTTAGATACTGAATAGTGGCCCTCAAAAAACACAAATAAAGGAAAGACGACTGAAGTATAATATAAAGAATATTTTTTGGAAATGTTACTATCTTTCTTGCTTCTTTTATTTTTTGCTGCATAGATCTTTTAAATCTTGTAACTCTCCTATTTGAAATAAAATAATACTAGGAGCACATTTTAATTTTGTTTTTTATTTTTTATTTTTAGAGACGAGGTCTTGCTATGCTGCCCAGGCTAGTCTCGAACTCCTGGGCTCAAGCAATCCTCCCACCTCAGCCTCCCAAAGTGCTGGGATTATAGGCATGAGCCACCATGCCCGTCCTAGGAGCACATTTTTATATGACAGGAGATGTATGTGTTAATCCATAATTTCTTTATTATTGAATAGAAGTACTTTTAAAAAAAAGATCCAATTCAAATCTCAACTCTGCCATAACCCTTTCTCAACTGTCCTTAGGTCAATTTAAAATCTCTTCCTTTGTGGCTTCTTGGTGCTTTGAAAATGGTTACCCACAACATTTGTTTATTTGTTCCTCTTATTCTCCACACTATAGTATGAATTTCTTGAAGGCGAGTACTGTGATTTTTTATGACCTCAATGTCTAGTGCATTGTAAATGCCAAGTAAACATTCGTTGAAACACACATGTCTGGCTTATATAGGAAATGAAAACTGATTTAGCTGGTTGGATTTAGTTTATTTATCTGTGTGTGTGTATGCAGGTGATTTTCCCAACAAGAATAATGGAGCACTTCAGTTTCCTTGACAACAGTAAAAACAGAATCACGGTAATATTATAATAGGAAGTGTTTTCCAAACCTCTTGCTTCAATTTCCCGAATGCATATGTCTACCACCATGGGTCTCTGAGTGTTGTGAGCCTTCACGAGTGTTGTGAGGTCACAGCAGTACACCTTCTTGATCCGCTTGAGATCAGGCTGGCAGTCATTGGGAACATGCTTGGAACACTGTTTATGTACATTCAATCCACAGTCTGTAAACAAAGAAGCCACATTAGCCTTACTCGGCCCTTTTGTCAAAGCCCAACATGAATTATATGCAGCTAAAAATAAAAATAACACCATCCAAGGGTTTGATAGATTTCTCTGGAACATCTATCCCATTTAGAGGTGACACTCTCTACAAGATGAGTATAAGATTTATCTTTTTTTGTCTTGTTTTGAGTTGGGGTCTTACTCTGCCACCCAGGCTGGGGTACAGTGGCATGATCGTGATTATCACGGCTCTGCCAGCCTAGACCTCCTGGGCTCAGGTGATCCTTCTGTTTCAACCTCTCAAGTAGCTGGGACTAAGGTGCACAACACCATGTCAGCTAATTTTTGGATTTTTTTGTAGAGACAAAGTTTTGCTATGTTGCCTAGGCTGGTCTCAAACCTCTGGGCTCAAGCAATCCACCCACCTCGGCCTTCCAAAGTGCTGGGATTACAGGGATGAACCACCCTGCTGGGTCACAAAACCTTTTATAATTCTGTTTTTCTCTTTAAGCCTTCTCTGTTGCTGGACCTTAAGACTAGGACATCTTACTGAGATAGTTTAGGTAGCTGGAAGGGTTGTTTATACATGTTTTTCTTTTAGGCTTTGGGTCCACAAATGGGCTTTTGGGTTTAGATTCCTAGATAGTCATGGCTCTTAAAGAGCACCTAGGACTTTTGCTACGTTGTTTCCTTTAAGTCCTTGGTGCTCCTTTTGTGGAAGGCATAGTTACTTTTTCTGTGGGAATCTCTGATCTCTTCTCTGGTCCGAGGAGCCTATGACCATTGGCATTCCCTCCCCTTTCCCAGAGGGTTGCCTGATAACTTCCAATCCCTTCCTCCTCGTTGAGCAGTGTAGGCCATCTTCCTTTATACTTGCCTTACTTTGACACCTGTGAGTGGAAATGATGTCTAACAGTGCATCAGTGGGAGTACCTGAGAGTTTATAATTTATAACAATGCCAAGTAATGTGATGGTTAGAGTAATAATTTGTAGAGCTCATATCAAGATCCGAAACTGAAAAGGTGCTTTTAAGTTCAATGAGCACATGAAAAGCCGTGTTAGCTGTTGGTATCCACTGACAGAATTTCTCTGACAATGAAAAGCACAGCCTACGTTCTAGAAAATAAATAAATTTAATGCAGAAGTTGTTCAACACTGATGTGTAATCTACTCAAAGTCTCTTCTAATATTGTTTTTATTGGTATAAAGTAGAACATTATATATATAATGTTATATATATTATATATACTGTGTATGCATTATATATTCTGTATACACATGCACACATGATAATGAATATTGTAGTCAGTTGCTCTATAAAAAGCACATATCCACACCAAGAATTTGAGAGGATCTAAATTTCTGTAAAATCATCGGTGGTAATTTCTTAGTGAATTTCATGTAATTTTTACCAGCTGAGTTCTCTTTGTCTACCCTCCTCCCAAAGGAAAAAAAATCAGCTTGAATTAATCTTAGCTTTAATAGCATGAGAAATTCAGCAAAGCTTAAGTGAACTTCAAAAATATTTTGACATATCTGTTTAGTGAAGATAAGTTTTGGCTAACTACACTACGTGTAACTGGCTGGTTTTCTTGTTTGGATTCTCTTTTATAAAAATGGAGATCATAATGGCCCTTACCTCCTTGGGTTAATCATAAGGATCGAATAAGTTAATAGTTATAAAGTGCTCAGCACAATGTCTGAAGTATATTATGACATTATGACATCACATAATGTCAAGTCAAATAAAATAAATAGCAAATATACGGATAATAATATAAGGATAGCTGCCCAGCTATTCTTAGTTATTTCATTAGTAATTTTTACTACATCTTACAAACTTTATTTAAATTATGGTAAAATATACATGACATCAAATTTCCCACCTTAACTATTTTTAAGTGTGCAGTTTAGTGGCATTGATTACCTTCACGTTGTTATGCAACATCACCACCATCTGTCTCTAGAACTTTTTTCATCTACCAAAACTAAACACTATAACTCCCCATTGACCCATCCCACAGCCACCATTCAACTTTCAATTGCGCTGAATTTAGGCACTGTAGTAAGAGGAATCATACATTTTCATTTTAAGATCTAAAGCAACAGTGTGTTTATGTAGAGTTCGATACTGCTATTTTATCACAAATAAAGCCTCGTGCATTTAAAAAATACTTCAAATATATACTATATGGAGAGCTGAGAGGCAACAATCGTTCCTCTTAACCTTTAATTATCAGTTTTTAGCCTTTCTGCTGCTTGGAGGAATTATGAGGCCAAAGAGTAGCTACTAGGAGAATACTAACAATATAACCTTAAGATATGTTTTATTAAAACACAAAACAAAACAAAACAAAACCCAGAAAAAATCCCAAGTCCCCTTTATCCCAGAGAAAGTTGCTGTTCACAGCTAATGTGAAACCCAGAGTTTTGTTCTCACAATATTGACTTTGGACCAATTTCCTGCTGAAATGGGATAATACTAATAATTAGGGATATTTTTGGTAGACATAATCTGGGCAGGCCAAATTAACCACCGGTGTGTAATTCAGATATTCTCCCACTTTGCTGAGTAGCTGAGCTGTGAGAAACTTTGGACTCATGGCAAGTCAGTCTTTTATGTTAACCAGGTTATCTGAGCATTTCTAGAGAGGCTGCCCCTGAGCCTATGTTTACCACTCATGGACCTGGGTTGGGGGAGCCAGAGTTATCCAACATTCATGAGAACTATTTGAATCATTCGGGTATCAACTCCAATGTCTACTTAGCAGGGGCCATGAAAGCCCCTTCCAGGCCGAGAGGAGGACTTAGGGTCACAGGATCCTGTGAACCAAAATAGGCAACATAGGAAATATCACCTTGATGTAGTGTTGTTCTTAACTTATTTTATTCTAAGTGCTTCATAGACAATTACCTTTTAAAATTATACCCTAGCAAAGAGAAGATCAGTCATGGTGTTGCTGGAACCCGATCACTATCAGAGACTACTGTTCTTGCTTCCAGCCCAAAAAACATGGCAGGTTGGTCAGCAAGCCCAGTAGCATATTCATTTGGCAACTCTTTCTGTTTTGGTTTTTGAAGAGATGTGTGCTGTTAGCAGTGGGTATGTGCATAAATAAAGGCAAAAATGTAATAGATTTAGTAGTCTCAAACTACGTTGAAAATATGTGCTATCAAATCAATGCGTGTGGTTTCACCACTAAACTGATGGCAGAAAGATACTGAGCATGAGTATCTGACTGCCTTCAAATTAATATTCTACTGCTTACTGCATGACCATGGGTAAGAAACAATGATCTCCGCGCCTCTGTTTCCTCTTTTATTTAATGGGGGATAAATGGTCTGATAATGGAAAGAGATTAGCTTGGTGCCTGGCATGTGGTAAATGTTCACCTGTAACATTACTCTTTTTATGTCCTGCCTTTTGTTGTAAGATGGGGTAGGGAAAAGTGTGACTTTTCTAGCCATATAATTCCATTGGAATAGATTTTTTTTTCTTTTAGGGACTACTGCCTATTTTGGGAAGAAGGTAGGTGTGTAAGGAAAACTTGTTTTTTTTTTTTCCTTGCATAAACATGGAATATTCTTGCAAATACTTAACATAGTCTCCCCATTAAACACAGAGAGTTCTTGAGCCCTCCAGAAAGCTGGACTTTTGAATGAATTTGGCCATACTTCTCAGCTCTGAAGAGATGCCCCATATATATAATTGGAAAAGGAGAAAGAAAGTTCTACGTCTACCTGAGCACCGGACCCCTTGGGCGATGAGCCCCCACATGAAATTGGCACAGTATTCACACCAGTGTGGGCCTCGGAATGTGTGGACCTGTGATCCAAAAAGAAGAAGAACGTCAGAAAATTCAGAGTCATTTAAAGGTAGGTGGCTGTGGACATATCAATGAAAAAAAAAACTGCCATGGCAAGAGTGATCCCTCACTGGGCCTTTTTCTTCTAGTGAGGCGGTTGCAAACAGATCCCAGGAAAACAGATATGTGCTTTGATCTTTGAAAATCCTCTATTGATCCACCATGCCCCAGGCCAGAACCAGAAAGGAATGCGGAGAAACAGTAAGATTATAGGACCATGCCATCAGCTAAGGAATGAGACTGTCACCACCCACAACAAGTTACTGTGTGGACAAACCCAAGATAGCCTAAGCTATTTGCTAAATGCTATAACCTGCATTTAGCTCAGCAAGTTCAGAGGGAGAACTCAATTACTGTGCCCTTTTGACTGACGTTGCCTCATCCGTAGACTATCCAGACAGGTATAAAAAAGACATGATTACCGGATAATTAAAAGGTTCCAAGACTTTGAGCTATTTCCAAAAGAGACATTAAAAAAGTGAAGGAGTTGGTTGAAAACGCAGTTACCAGTAAGACTTATAGAATTGCTTTCCCCACAGATAGGGTCTATTCAACAGGACTTGGTGTGACCTTCAGGTAAGTATTTCTGGCCAAAGTACTGGTCTTGCTGATTGGTGCCTCAGCCAGTTGTTAAATATTCTGGATATCGCAAAGGAAGAAAGGTCTGATTGCTGATTATTTAGTTACAGATCCTCATGTAACAGGACCTTGTTCTCTGGCATGAAAGAACTTTAAGAAGCAGAGTTAGGGGATTTCTTATAAGCCAATATGGCCGTGGTCAGTTAAAAACCACCATCAGCTGTCTATACAAATCTACATGATACCTAATTATATATGTTTGTGTAGTCTAGAAGCTTACTTTAAAGCCTTGAGGCATTCAAAATGGGAATAATTTTAAAATATTTACACACAACTTTTTAGAAATATATTCACTAATAAAAGGCACAGTAACACACTCCTCCCTTTTGTTTACATAAGACGACTAATTTGGAGAGAAAGTTAATTACCCTTAAAATAATCAGTTTGCTGTGAGTAAATTTTAGAAGATAAATACGTAAAAATAAACTTTATATATTCATTTCCAATTTTAATTTCTTAAATATGAACCCAAACTAAATCAATGGAGTTATAAAACTCAATTAAAAAAAACCCTATGGCTTCTTTCTTTTTTTAATTAGTTACTTAATTATATTTATTTTGAAGGTGTAGGGTACAATTCAGGATTGGGTATACAAGTAGACATCAAGCAGGTAAAGTTTGAGGCTTCTTTCTTAAGATATCCTTACTTTTTTAGTCACAAATATAAGGCACAGATTACTTTTAAGATACAAAGTTTTGTTGCCAATATATGTGTGTACAGATATACATAATATTTATAGCCATTAAGTTATTTTCAGACAAGTCTTTAGTCTAAAAAACTCTTCTCTGAGGCTATTTCCAATCACATTAAAACCTTTGATATTGAAACTGCTTTAATTTAATAAAGAAAAATAAACCTTTCTTATAAGTATTTTCTTTAGAGGAAAATGACATACAAAAAGAGAAATAAAATATGATTAAAACAACAAAAAACAAACAAAACAAAACTACATGATACAGATCTACATGCAATATTCTAAATTTTTACAAAATAAAAATATTATAAGACATTATGTTAGCCCTTTCAAAGTCAGAAACCTCCATTAACAAATAAAAGAAATATTATCTTTTAACAAACTAGGAGACCTATATACTACTTTTATTTAACAAAAAAAAGCAGAATGCAAGTCTGAGAATTTTTACAATTTGGGAAGATGCTCATCAGAGTTCTATGTAAGAAAAAGAAACACTGTTTTGAGTTCTTTATTTATTCATACACACCAGTAACTGGGTGTACATGAAGAGGCAAATAATATGGATCCGGATCCCTCCTAATTAAGTTGAAGCAAAGAAAGAAAGTAATAAAGCTAATAGATCAAAAGGAGCAACTTATGACCATGGCTTCTGTGCAAAAAAGCTAAGTTATGACTGTCTTTTGGTATTTCAGCTTATCATATGTAAACTGCCCATTATATTGTTTCTGCTTTGAAAAAAGGATACACACACTTTCTCCAAGTTGTTCTTACTTAAATGAAGACGTGTGCTTTAAGAAAATGAACCTAAGACATGCCAAAGCTCTCCTTATAGGAATGCAGAGAATTCATCCTGGAAGCACTCGCAGGGTCAAATGTCATGATCCATTTAAAGGCCTACTGTGACTGAACTTGGTACTGAAAGAATTACTCAGTAAAACATCCTGTTCAGACTTGAACGTTTTCTGAATTCAGCAATCATACGTTTCTTAGTATTTTACTAGAAACACTCTGAAGATGCTGGTTAATTATGGCAGGAAAGTCAATTGTTAATACATGGTTGAAATTACAAGATAAATGAAATAGAATAATATATAAAATACAACTCCCCCAAAAAAGTATGGAAAGGGCTACAGAAGAGAAAAGATGAAGCTGCTACTAAAGAGACAAAAAGAGGGGCTCAATAGTATCCAGAGTGGTCAGGAAACCTCCCCTCTTGGAAGGTGATCTGGAGGAAGAGAAGAGCCAGTCCTGTGGTGGAAGGGACAGAGAACATTCCAGGCAGAAGAAATGTATGGAGGCCTTGCAGGAACAAAAGAGCTTGGTGGCCAGAGTGGCCAGAACACCCAAGTGAGGAGGAGAGGAATTGGGATGAGGCTGAAGGTAAAAAAGAGAAATAGCTGTCAAGGCTTTATTCATGAGTGTGGATTTGGTTTTAGTCTAGGTACAATAGGAAGTTCTTGGAGGACTTCACATAGGAAGCATTTCCTTTAAAAATATTATTCTGAATATTGTGTTGAAAATGAATGGGGAGTTGTTAATAGTGAAATAGATTAGAAAATACGTAGTAGTCTAGTTAAGCAATGATAGAGTCTTAAGAACAAGATACTGGCAGTGGAGATGGGATGCAGATGAATTTGAGATATCTGAAGATTAACAGAATAAACATGGGTCTTTGAGAGAGTGGGAAGTCAAGCATGATTCCTAGATTCTAGCTTAGGTGGATGGCGATACCATTTGCTGAGATGGGGAAGATGCACTTCTGGGAAGAAATTCAAGAATTCAGTTTTAGACAGGTTAAGGTTAGATGCTGCTATGATATCCAAGAGTTAGTGTCAAGCAGGAACTCACACATAATTTGACAGCTCAGAGGAGAGGTGAGAGCTAGAGGTATAAATTTTTACCATTCCTGGCAAATAGATGATGTTTAAAATTGTGTGAATGGATAAAAAGTACAGACATGTACCACTTTATGATGGGGATAGATTCTGAGGAATGTGTCCTTAGGCAATTTTATCATTAGGGGAAAAACCATAGAGTGTACTTACATAAACCTAGACAGTATAACCTACTACACACCTAGGGTATATGGCATGGCTTACTGCTGCTAAGCTATAAACCTGTATAACATGTTACTCTAGTGGACACTGTAGGGAACGCTAATATAATAATATTTGAGTATCTAAACATAGGAGAGTTACAGTAAAAATATGGTATGAAAGATAACAAATGGTACACCTATATAGGGTAGTTCCATGATAATCTTATGAGACCACCATACGTAGTCCATTATTGACCAAAATATTGTTATGTAGCACATGCCTGTATTAGGGACAGAGAGTAGAAAACAGAAAAGTGAGCTCACCTTCAAGTCCTAGGTGGGCCAACTTTTAGAGAAAACCAAGAAAGTAAAGCGTTATGGAAACCAAGAGGTGAAGAGTGTTTTAGGGAAGGAATGGTCAACTATGTTGAGTGCTAGTAAGAGGTCCAATTAAAAATAAGACCTAAATATTGATTCAGATACATGGAAGTCATCAACAATCTTGGTTAAGAGCAGACTCTTTGGATTGTTGAGGGTCGAAGTCAGACTCAAGTGAACTGAAGAAGAAATGGTAGATAGAGGGGGAGAAATATGTAGGCAACTCCATCAAAAAGTCAGGCTCTGATGTTCAGCAGAGGAATAGGACAGGTCAAGGGAGATGTGGAGTCAACAAAGGATTTTTTTTTTTAAGATGGGAAACGTTAAGACTTGCTGATCTGTTGATGATATGGATACAACAGGTGGAAAAGACTGAAGATATAGAAAAAACAGAGAAGTTAAGGAAAGGAGTGATAATCCTGAAAAGTTGAGAGATGACAGAGTTTAGAGCACACATGGAAGCAATATATATTCAAAGAAAAAAACAGTTGAGATCTCCCCAGAACTAGTAAAAGGCACAAAATCTTCAGATTAAGAAAAGCTAAATGAGTCTCAAACAAGATAAATAAAAATCTATATCTCTATATAGTCAAATTGCAAAATACCAAAAGACAAAGCAAAGTCCTAAAAAACAGGATATCTGCAAAAGGACAGCAGTTAGGTTCAAAACAGATTTTTTTTTTTCTCAGCAAGAAGAGATTAGTAGATTATGGAATAATTTCATCAAAGAGCTCAGAGAAAAGTATTGCCAGTCTAACTTTTATAACCTGTTAATGATCATCCAAGAGCAAGGATGAAATAAAAATATTTTCAGACAAATGCCAAGAGTTTGCACTCACAGATCCTCACTAAAAAAAATACTACAGGATATACTTTAGTGTGAAGCAAATCGAACCTAGGAAGATGAAAGAGGACTCATGAAGCTATGGTGGGCCAAAAAACTGGTAAATATAGATCAGTTTAATCAAGTCCTATCTGCATAAAACAATGATAACAAAGATGAATAATTTTAGGGGACTTAAAACAGAGTGAAAAATGACATGGAAGATTGAAGGGAATGAAGAAAGTTAAAGCATTCTAAGGTCCTTAAAATTTGCAAATGTAAAAAGACCTATTAATTGAGGACCATTTTAAGTCAATTATGCACACATTCAATTTTTTAGTAGAGACAAAAGAGTGGAATAAAACTTATTAATTTAAAAAATTCATA